GATTATTTACTCTAACACATACACCAAAAGAAGAAAATTGCAGTTCAAAATTGCTTCAAACTTATTATAAGCTTTCTCTGTCTACTAACCACAGCAAATTTTGCTAACAAATGAAAGCCTTTATCATGTTAATGGTTAAATGTTTATGAACAGTAATATTTCATTATATAAAAGACCAGTTATCAAATACATTGGATGTTCAAGCACAACATTTTGTATATTGACATTGATTTTTTTATTCTTTAAAATTACTCCTTGCTCCTTACTTCAGTCCTGAAAAGTGTATTGCTGTGCACCGAAGATCAATGAATCCAATATGGACACCCTGGCTCAGTATTGGGGTCCAGGGGGTTGTAATCAGATTTCCTTCTCCTAGGTGGATTGCCTTTCAGGGATTATGAGCTCCACCTAACAGAGCACTTTGTTTTAACTGGCAGACACTTGTCTACAGTGATCAGTTGAATTTATACTGATGGGTTTCAACAAGTTCTTTGACTGCAGGAGGAGGGACAGGGGTTATGTTAGGAGCGATTTGCCTTCGGTAATCACTTGCAACACCATTCCACATATCTAAAGAAGACTTATAATTAGTTTTATTCCTGTTTATTCCTTTTATTCCAAATCAAAATTTGGCTTTCCAAAAAGCCTTAAGTGCTCTTAAAACACGTCAATCAACATGCCTACAGAACGATCAAAATATTTGTTTGAAAATGTGATATGAAGAATATGGAATTTCATAATGAAAAGTGAAAACTAAAAGTCACTTTTTTTCTCACTAGGATTCAGGAAAGCATAAAATGTTATACATACCTTCATTATAAGTTGTAGGATGTATTCGTACTGCCTAGGAGAATCTTTAAGAATCTTTATATGGCTCCATTGCTGTTTCTTCCCCTTGCTGAACATAACTGGCAATGGCTCATGTCTGCATTGTATTGTTTCATCTGGCTACTGATCCGTCTGGGTTTCCACAGCGCTATAAGTGAACAATAAAATTTTGTAATGAGGAAATATAACAACATTAACATAACTGAAATATCCAGGGATATGTGTTATGTGCTTACCACAATTAAATCCGTCTTGATGTTTCGTATACAGGCTCGATCAGCATAGTATTCGCGAACCCTCGTCACTTTTAATTCCAGCTTCAGTTTTGAAATGATTTCACCGACCAATAGTATCATTAAAGTACATTTTCGTTGCATACCTTTTCGCGAAATGTTCTTTTCGATTTCCTGGTTGGTTTTGGCGACCAGCATTAGAAGAATTTGCCTTTGAAGGGACGGCTCCATTATATAACTCTTACGAGTCCGCCATTTTGAGCGCGCATATCCGAATAAGGACTGGAGAGCACACAAAATCAAAACAAGTGTGCTCACATTTGTTTACATTTTTGACACATGCGCAGAAGCGACTGTAATCTAGCTTTAAGTGACATAACAAACAAATAAACTAAAAGTACATTTGAGTATTTGACTCCTTGTAGTTGTATCAATAGTGATAAAGGCATTATATTGACAAATAGATCAGTGGGCTATTATTAAAACTGCCGATATATTCTTGAAATCATATTGTTTCAATACCTCTATATCGAAGTTTAATACACTAAACAAGTATAAACAGCAGATTTAAATATAAAAACATTTAAATATGTATATCACCAAACAGGCCGACACGAGTCACACGACTACACGAGAAAGAAATAAAGCCATCCTTACCTGAGTTATTCAAAATATTGTCCACTGTTCATGCCAGTAATATAAAATAACAACGTGCTTTATTTACCCATTCATCTTCACAGATATTACTCGAAATTTTATGGCAATTCGCATTATTTTATGATTATATTTCTGTCCGTTTATATAAATAGTCGCCATGTTGTGAACAACCCCCCGGGAACAAAAAAATAATATCAAAACAGCTAGTTTTGGCCCGTCCGTGGATGACAAAATGACATAAATCGAGATTGTAGCAGCTATAAACTCGGCGGTCACGTGGTACGCACACCACGTGTAGAGATTAGTATGCTGCCTCGCTAACGCTCGGCAGCAATTATGCAAATAAATACAAGAGCACAACGCATGTTTATGAGCCTACGTACAATGTATATTTATACTTGTTAAGTAAAAAGTCAAGCTGTCAAACCTTTAATTAACTTGTCCTTGTTTATATTCCACTAAATTGTATAACTTTGCTGGGTCCAAATTGTGGGGTTTTCGAGTCGTTACACAAAGAAAAACACACTAATATATTAATTCAACACGCAAGAAAGGCCAGAGTGTGACACAACGTAAAATCCATAGGAAACCGGCACAATTCTTTGAAAATTCAACGAAATTGTGTGAAATATATATTAGATCGCTCAGTGAAAAACCGCTATTTTGAAACTGAACTGAATATGTCACTGGAGCACGTTGCACCCTAAGCCTGCGAAGACCTAGCCTGCGTGGCAGGCCCTCAAATTTATGGGGGGCCTGATTTGCAGCGGGCAGGATTTTGGCGGGCTCCGGGGGAGGATTAAGGGCTTGCAGGAAAGGCCACCTTTCATGACTACACGCCGTTCAGATTCTGAACGGTGAATACGATCACCTGATTGGTCAATACCAAGTCAGTGGAAAACCGTAGTATTTGTTGATTTCAATATTGTTGCTATCTAATCCTCGATGTAATCTTGAACATCGATCGTGGCTATTTTTTCTTATTCAGCAGCGATACAAAAGATGATCTCACTGGCCAGTCGTCAGGAAATAGCACAGGATAATTGCAAACAATTAACGTGATTTCTGATGATGTACTATATAAAAGTATTAAGTTCGATTCAGTTCTAGACATACTACCCGGAAAACATCGCGGAGAACAAACGCGATTTGATTCAGTTTGGTTGAATGGACTAGCGCCACGGTCAGCGGGTCAGGAATTAACTGTTTACGCTTTCCTTATGTTTCTACATCTTTGGGCTGGTAATGGTGTTGAAACTTCTCGTGTAGTACTGTAGTGTATTAACAAAAGCCAACTTTCTCACATATAATCTGAGAGCACAATTCCGAAAGATTGTTTTCTTTCTGATGTTTTTTTGTGATGAAACATGAACAATTTTACTGAAATTGCCAATTAAATTGCTGTCTAATTTAAAACAACATTTACAAAATCTGCAATATTGTATTAAATTGTATTATAGTATTGACTTAATTCGCAATATTGTTTGATTGACATGTTTACTCACGTGCAAGCGAATATTTTTAGAAAACAATTAATTATGTTATGACTGGGGCGTGTAGTCATGAAAGGCGGGCTTTCCTGCAGGCCCTTAATCCTCCCCCGGAGCCCGCCAAAATCCTGCCCGCTGCAAATCAGGCCCCCCATAAATTTGAGGGCCTGCCACGCAGGCTAGCGAAGACCTAACGCAAACTCCATTTCTCGTCGAAAACAGAAAACAGAAAAAGAGGGATTTAAGACACTTGGCCTACAGGCCAGTGTAATAAAGCTGATTATTGCGCGTTCTAAGTCTGTATCATACAGCGTCGATTTCTCACTCCTGCTTAGTTTCTCATGCGTAACAATTATGTTAAGTACACAAATACACAGCGTAGCTATATTAATATGGTTCGGCTCACCACAAATTTTCGCAGTTGAGTGCCAATGTTTATTGTTTAGGACGTAACTCTGCAACATGTTGTTGTTAAAATTCCGAAATGTAACACGATCTGATATGAAGTCTGCGCTCATGTCGAATATTTCACTCAATAAGGGACCGGTCATTAATTATAGGGGGGAGGGCTGGTGCAAAATGGGGGAGGGTCACTAATTTTCATGCAAGGGAAAAGGGGGGTCATGTAAATTCGTGCAAGAAAAAACATAGCAAATTTTTTTTAATTCATGACATTTTTAATAAACAAGAATACCTAAAAAAGCAGGACAGTTATTATTTTATAAAGTAAATGAGATCTTTTTGTTCATTGACTCCTTTTACTGTTTTGGCTTTGTCATATATGTACATATTTTAGTTATTACTGTATACTCATATTTTTTTATAAAATCAAACCCTGCACGGTGTAATAATTAATTTTTATCCCTTGCGGATCACTTATTATTGCCAAACGTTCCTATCCCTTCATCATGTTAGGATGCAATCACCTACAGCACATGATCACACTACGATATAAATCCTACCCCACCCTTACCATCACAATCATTCATACTCACTGTACGTACTATTGAGTAAGCTAGTAAAAGGATCTGTCATTTGCTCTACTTCAAAATTAACTGAGAAGATGGATAATAAAATACGTGGTGTTGGAATGTCCTGCACTAACAAGACATTTGGTAGGATAGGATAACTTAATTAACTAATAACATGTAGCAGTTTATGTAGTTATATCAGTTTTCACTATCTTTCCATCTTTCATTTTTGTTGCTGTGTAATTGGCTATTTTCAATAACTAGTCGTAATAATTTGTTTTTCTCTTGGTCTCACATTATGACATTATTATCCAAACTCCTAAACTCTCCTTCCTAGCTTCTCCTCAACAAATTCTGCCTACATCTCCCCTTAAAAAAACCTACAGAAGAAGACTGTTAGGTCGAAACGTATTCAGGGTTGTCTTTCCTACTCATTTTCAATCTCTCGCCTTTATCGTATCCCACAAAATATTTTACCTTTTTTAGTTCCTATATATGAATCGTAGTTTCCATAGTTTATTCTGTACATGCTCAACATAGAAGTCGGAGTAAAGGCGCTGTTACACTAGCAACTTGTCTTGGAACTTGTCTTGCAATGTTAAGAAAAACAATTTCAGGATTGCATTGCAAGGGATGTTACACCAAGCAATATGTTCCATACAACTTGCAATGAATCCAATGATCATTATTAAAAATAGTATAAAAGCCGTGAGGGCTAAAGTCTAAAAAATGACGATTTAAATTATAAGGTACAAACCATAAAAACGGTGGCAGGGGGGGTCGGTCAAAACTGCGCATCACTTTGGTGGAGGGTCAGAAAAAAATTAGCATGGTATATTTCAGGTGCACCAGCCCTCCCCCCCCCTCCCATATGATGTTATAATATTAACATTAAATGTTGAAAGTAGAGCAAAAACCTTTATAATAAAGGCTTGCCTTAGAAACCCAGTCACAGCGCTTCGAATTTACAACTTGTCTCGGCAAACACTCGTTCATCAATCATCACCGAACATCACACGCACGTGAAGGATTAAAGAAGCCAACCGAAGTGCATTATGGTAAAAAATCCCGGCAACCATAATGCATCGCGCTTGGTTAAACTTCAGATTTCAACCCCCATATTAAAGTTTAGGTCTGCTGCCTTGCTCGGTCGCTTCAGGCACTGCGGCAGCAATGATACAGCGCGCGAGAAAATGAAAACCACGTTAGTCTATATCGAAGGAATGTCACATTTAAACGCACGAGACTATTGCAATATATATATATAGAATCGAGCAGAGAATCGAGTATGTCGTTGCCGCATAATGTTTGTACGTCATTGGAATCGGGTCAGGTCTGCAGCTAGGCTATATGAGTGTGTAATATATTTGTATTATATTTTTCGAATGCGCTGGTCGAATGTGTAAATTAAGGCAAATAGAAAGCAAAGCACGGTTTACACAAAGGTCAGTGGAATATTAGCGCACGAAGTCTTTGGGAGTATTTGTCGAATATTGACCGAACAATACGTAACACGGTCAAATAATAAATAATGACCTTTAATACGAACAGTCGTTTACGTATTTTTGTCATATCTGATGTTTTGTATGTGATTAAATGTGTGTATAATATTTCAAATGTGTCCAGTTTACGTAATACTTTCTTTCAGTAAATTCAGAATTTGACAATAGCGATTAGCAAACAATGCAGGCTACCCACATGTACGCTGCGAGTACCTATTTTTAATGTTTTCTCTGTCTCTCCAGTACACTGGCTAGGAACAGGCGGCAGTTGCACCAACATCAAAGGCTCCGACAAGGAGTCTGATTTCGGCTGTGTATGTACTCTGTGGTATTATGTACGATTCCTCTGCCTGCCCCCCCCCCTTCTCCCCACATTTTTTGAAAAAATTACTTTATAAGACAGAGCCCGTAAAAGCATGATAAATTGAATGGAAATACTAATTAAACGCTCTTTAACAAGTCGATCCTTGAACTGATGAACGAGGTATCCCCTTCAAAAGAAGTACCCCCTCCTAAAAGCATGCTAGTCGTTAAAAACCGTCAATAATTGCAGAGTATCATACTAGGTTATGAGGACTAAGTTAGGTGTAAATTTACCCCGGATAAACAATCCAATTTCCATAAGTTCAGTGTTATGTCAGGCTACACAGAGAATCTAGAAGTCATGTGTGGTGTACTGGCAAATGTGATGGACAGGACTATCACTGTATCTTGGCAAATATTGTTTGAATAAAAAGGTTAAATATACTTAACTATAGAAATTTATCTGCGGATATGAACTTTCTATAATTAAACCATACATGATATATGATATTTTCCTCTTTCATGACTGGCTTGACTATATTTAGCTAAATTTTCAGTTAAGTTGAAAAATATATGTAGTAAAATATGATAAAAATGCTGGGATATACGATTTCAAAAAGTTGCAAAACATTTTTCTAAAAAAAGTATAAATAATTTTCTGCTAATCGCACAATTTTTTGTTGTTCCCTTTTTTCATTATTTTGCGGTGAAATCGCAGAAAATGGCTATTCCAGACTTCTAATATTCATAATTTTCCGGGGGAGTATGACCCCGGACCTTCCAGAATGTGCGGGTCTTAGAGCAGAACTTGTCAAATCTCCCTAGCCACGCCACTGGTTGGCAGTATAACAGTTTTGTTCTTTCGAAAATCGATTTGCATTCCTTGCATTTCTAAAATTAATTTGCATATTTTCATCATTCGGGAACTGTATCACATTGTCCAAATTACGTTAAGCCAAAACCAATCCCAGCGACTTATTATTTTGACTGAGCATTTTCCGGTTATGAACTTATGACATAGCTATAGGTCTAAATAAGCCGCTGGCTTCGTTTAAAACTAACGTTAAAAATACGCAAAAGCGGCCTCGGTTTGCCTGTTCGAGCTGTAAATGGCTCCACATGTATGATGGGAACATTTATAACTTCAGACATGGTAGTGTTGTTCATGAACATTGATATACACTATTGCTATTATCTTCAGATGATTGAACCGCTACTACCGCTGATGGGAGATCATTAATGTGTATTATAAAGGCTAAGGGACTAATTTTTTAGCCCTGTGACACACCACAATTGAAATTAGGGTGTTTAAGATCTTGACGACGAACTATAGCTGCCGACTACGTTTGAAATAGTTTTTTGTTATATATGTATGCAAATACTATAAATGCTTGTCATAACGAATTTATCCCAAATATGTTTTATGTGCATGGTTTTGTGTTCGGTATAAGTTCCATCTTTTAATTTTCATTATTTTTTTATAAACATACTCTCCAAACTGCAACGTTGTGTTGTCATTTTCGGTACTATGTTCGTGATTCTGTTTTACAACACAAGAATGTGATTTTTACGCTGTAGCCAAAGTTGGTACGGTGAAAAGTATGCATGCATGCTCTGGGGATATGTAAATTTTGTCTGCCTCTGTTAAAGCAATCCAAATTTTGTGTGATCTACCTTGGATGTATGATCCTATCAAGGCTGGTCTAACACCAATTTTCTCAAAGTTATATGTAACTTATTGTGATCAATCAGGTCAAATGCCTTTTGGAAGTCAAGAAAAATTATTCTTACCACATTGCCATATTCTTCCATAGCTGAATATCATTTATGTGCAAGACTGATAAGAGCGGAAGATCCTGACAATCCTCCAAACTTCACTTTATTTACTTTTCTTTCATGTCCTCGTACACGCACTCAGCAACGTATGACTCCTATACTTTTGGTAGAATGCTTGCGACAGAAATTGGACCCAAGTCTTCAACAGTTGAACAAGGGGTAACCCTTGGAATCCGCGCACACTGGATAAAATTTCCAAAGATTGGGAAAAGTTCTTGACATGAATGATTTATTGTATACGTATATTAGCCAGATGGATAGTAAAATATTTCGAAAACGTCTTGATCATTTTCATATGTGGTTAATAGGGAGCTGCCTTCCGGTCATTAAGACCTCTTAGCCTTTTGGCAACATCTTCTAATTCAGCTTGCGATAGCCATTCACTCCCACTTCCGAGAAATCCCTTGTAAGGTTTAAAAACAATGTATTTATGTGATCAGCAGTCTGCTTATCGTCCAAGGGTAGTTCCATATCGGGGTCAAGTGGCGATATGGTACTTCTCATTTTCTCAACAATACCATACATCATACATACATGTTCTTCTACCACATCTTAGAATTTTGACGATATGTTTGGCGAATTTTATCCTCGTAGAACTTTCTTTTTGCCAAGCAAATCTCCGATACACTTTGGTTTTCTATGAATCTTGAAAAATGTACGTTTACCACTTCTGTACGCTTTGTTTTGCTTACCAATCAATCTTTTAATTTTTCAAGTTAAAGAGGTATGTCCTCGTCGTGTATTCTAAGACTATATGTATTGACCTTGATATCTACATGATTCTCAGAAAAGACAGATGACCGATCATAATGTTTTAAATATTCTTCAAACGCTTGTAATGATCTAACCTTCACTTTCCTTTTAAAATTGTTCTTAGGTACATGGACTGTGGAATCTAACACTACAGTTGTGATCTGACGTTGCCGGAGTGTTTGATACCCTTGTTCGATTCTTTATCATTTGTTTACTATGCCTGGTTATAGAAGTAGAACAGAACCCATTGCCAGTAGGGTTAAAATCACCTGCTAGGATAAATGACGTACTAAAACTTCCAAAGATTATAGTCTGTCGTAACCGTAGTAGAAGTAACCGTAGAAATGTTCTAAATCTTCGGATGCAGGCTAATCGAGAAATACATCTTGGTAGCCATGTGGGACGAAGAATTACCAAAAGACATTCAAATACTGAACAAAGACATTGAAATACTAAATCAAAGACATTCAAATCCTGTATAAATTTTGTATCACAAAGCGTACGTCATAGCCTTTTACCCCAACAATTCTATTAAAGCATTAACTGGTAACCCTCAATATTCGCTATATTCAAATTAGTTAATACAAAAGTAAAAATGTTTTTCTTTGATGTATAATTTCGGTGATAAATTATAAAAATCTAGTCGATATTTGATCGGCTGCCGGTTACGTTTGCGAGTTGGTTCAATTCAGCTTAGCTACATAATTTCGAACAATGAGAGATAACGTAAAGTAAAAATAATACTTGTCGGCTCTAATTGGCCGAAACTATAAGCGCCCATGATCTGTGGCCGCGGGTGGCTAACGGAAATTGGAGAAAACCCAAAGGGCAACTTTGAAGTCGCAGGAACAGGTTTCCCAGCGACTATAATTAGACATTGGATTTTTACAATATTCAATATACATCAAGCACTATAGAACTGAATAATATACTATGGTCTCATGGACCTAATCAGTGGGAAGTTTCATACATCGTTCAGGCTCAGTTGACAAGGGCAAAATACATATTTACGTTCTTAAAATATCTATGTATTATTTTTGCAGAATTTCCATGTAGCCCAAAACAGCAGCTGTGTTCAACCAAATGTAACTGTGTGTAATCAATGGAAGCACGTTAGTTATTAAAGGTATTTTACTGCAATATATTATGACAACTGAACTCCGAAGAGTTTATGAATTATCAACAACACTATACAACGTTCAAGCCGAGGCTAGCAGTTGACCAATTTCTATTCTATTTCTAGAACAAATTTTGTTATGGCTAGTGCTAATGTAGCGTGGAAATTTGCTGGAGGTGAATTTTCAATCAACATCAGCACTGACAGTGTACTAGTAGCAAAAGACGTGTGTAAAACTGTAACTACACTAGGGGAAGTAGCACGAGACGTGTGCAAAACTGCAGGTGACGTAGCACGAGACGTGTGCATCACTGCAGTTTCCCTGAGTGCTCTCTACCTTGGTTATAAATTAGTAAGACCATTAATCGAGACTGCGGTTACAAGAGGTCTTGGTGATGAACGAGATGACCAAGAAGTTCGAGGTATCCGACCAGGATCTTTGCATGTTCTATTACATTGTTTTACAGACGAGAGATTTCTGGAAGTCTTAGCAGATTACGAATCAGGAAGGATGAAAGAACGCTTGCAGGAAGAATTTTCACAGATTGGAATTAAAGTAGAAGGATTGAAGGTGGAGATTGAAAACATGGTAGAGGTGAACGAAACGAAGGAAGCCATAAACAAAAGGTATGATAGATGTTTTATAAAAAATATAACTCGTACTGCGCGCGTTTTGAATATCAGATACAAAACTTCCAACTGAGTTTTATCCTATAGCTAAACATCCTCGTTCCCAGACTGACACTATGTAAATTTTTACTGTGGATATAAACGAATGTATAGTTTAAGCATGGGAATGCCAACATTGTCCATAAAAAGGGCAATGTCATTTTCTATCTAAAATGAATAATAACTGGAAAAAATTGGCATTGGCATCTTAATATTGTTTTAATTAATGCAGATCTCATATCAACAAGGATCTTTGCGAGGACGTGAAAAATATTGTAATAGATGATGTGGAGAGTGACCTAGAGATAAATAAGCAGGTAAGTAAATCTCGCTCGTGTAACGGTATGAGATTTTCTCGATAGACAACGAACCGTTTCACCTGTAATTTGCAGCATGAGCTCCACCTTTGAATTTACTACATGAGTAAATTCTTAAACACGTCCGAATTTATCATTATGATAAATTCGCGGCACATTTTGAATTTATCATAATGGTAAATTCGCGGCACCTATATAACCCCTAACCCTAATCTAACTTTTTAAACTTTTTTTTTTCTTTTTTAAACTTTTTTAAAACTTTTTAAAAACTTTTTTAAACTTTTTTTTTAAAAATCCGGAAAATCTCAGGCGTTCAGTGAACCGGTTATAACCAGACTATATGCCCATGTATCTAGTTAACTCATTAAGTTACATTGCGCCGTAATGCGGCCTACTTTATTACTTTATTACTTTACGATTTTAATCTGAAAGCGTATACGAGACGAGAGAAATGGACGGTTTAAATGGTTTCATTCGAAGCAGCACAGTTGTCAAAATAGGTAACGGGTTTTGTCGCATAATTGAGATAAAATGACTTCCGGAAATCCCTTCGAGTAATATTCAGAAGCATTAAATCCAACGAATTAAATTCGACGAAAAATTCGGCGTTTAAAATAAACCTAAGATGGAATATAGCAATAGCAGCGATTGCAATTGAAAAAGTCTTAATATTTACATACGGTAGCAAAGCTATTTCATATTCCCTTCAATTCTCATCAGTTCCAACTAATTAACTTAATTAGACAGTAATTTCTGCGATTTCCGTTTATTACTATAGTCCGTGCAGGGGCAGCGCTAGATGTCTTCGAATAGGGGAGGAAATTATGCCGCGTCATTCTTCCTATCCAATTCATGTTTTCCCGACTACGAAAACAATTTTCCGACTCGGATGGAATAATTTGCCGATTACCCGACAGCTGCGGAGTGTACCTTTCTCCCCCCCCCCCACACACACTCTTTAGTGCAACCCCTCAGTTCGTACATATATGGCCTTTTGACTGATAAGTAAAACAAGTTTTGTTGCGTAAGGTCTACAAGATACATTACTGCATGAACGGATAGAATACTGATATATAGGCTATATAGTAACTAATGTTTTGCGAAGACAACTATTTAAACAATTAATCAATACGTGCATCTGAAAGATTCTAAGTTTCGGTTGAATTATTTCCAAGATATCAGATGTTCTTGTTTTGGTAATCATCTGAACAAGTTTTTGAATAGCCTGCATAAATATCTGAATGTTTGCTTGGTGATGAAATGTGTGAAGGTATCACAAGTTCTAAAATTATTTTTTTATAAGTTTCACTACTGATGTCAATCATGGGTTTAGAGCGTGGAAACGACTATACAGTCGCAATTAATAGTCAAATAGATTAATAAAATTTCAGATTTTCACATGGTACTTGTTCCACAAAATGTATTTTCCTACCTTGTTAATTTGTCGGGCAGTTATATTTTTTATCACTAAATATAATTTCAAAGATTTAAGCGGTTGTACTGGGCAATGTACATGTTCCAATACAACAAAACGGATTTATTTCTAGTAATATGCGGTTTGAATAAAGTTTATCAGTGCTCGCCGTCAATTGAGTGTCTTGCCAATTGTCGTCAATTTTCGGTAAAAAAATAAATAAAAATTAAAATAAACGATTGGCTCCCTTCTTAAATACGAAGCTACTAGCCTCATAAATTCATTGTTGTCACTCTCAATATGTACAGGATTCCAATGTCCAATAGCAAATCATAGCATTTTTAGGCAGACGAAATGCTTTCAGACGAAAACATAACTTATACCAACCAAGCTACATTCTGTTATTAGACTAAGAAAGAAGAAAAAATGAAAAAGAACGTTTCAGAATTGGCATCAAAACAAAAAGCTCTTGAAAAAATGTTAAACATGCATGGAGAAGACCATTTTGACACTGCTCTTAGTTATTTCAACATTGGAAACACACAATATGAGATGAAAGATTACAAGTCAGCGTTAGAGTCACACCAACATGCTCTTCAAATCAGATTAAAACTCTTTGGTGAAGACCATTCAGACACTGCTCTAAGTTATTGGAGTCTTGGAAGGATGCAACATGAGATGAAAGATTACAAGTCAGCGTTGGAATCAAGTCAACATGCTCTTCAAATCAGATTAAAACTGTTTGGCGAAGACCATTCTGACACTGCTAGAAGTTATCACAGCATTGGAGTTGCACAATATGAGATGAAAGATTACAAGTCAGCGTTGGAATCTGATCAATATGCACTTCGAATCAGATTAAACCTGTTTGGAAAAAATCATTCTGACATGCACTGCTGCAAGTTATCACAGCATTGCAGTAACACAATATGGAATGAAAGATTACAAGTCAGCGTTGGAATCTAATCAACATGCACTTCGAATCAGATTAAAACTGTTTGGAGAAGATCATTCTGACACCTGCTGCAAGCTATCACAGCATTGCAGTAACACAATATGGAATGAAAGATTACAAGTCAACGAATTAAATTCAACGAAAATTCGGCGTTTAAAATAAACCTAAGATGGAATATAGCAATAGCAGCGGACAAAACGGAAAAGTCTCAATATTTACATACGGTAGCAGTTATTTCATATTCCTCAATTTCATCAGTTCCAACTAATTAACTTAATTAGACAGTAATTTCTGCGATTCGCTTATTACTATAGTCCGTGCAGGCAGCGCCAGATGTCTTGGGGGGGGGGTAAGGAAATTTTGCCGCGTCATTCTTCCTATCCAATTCATGTTTTCCCGACTACGCCACTGCTCTCAGACACTGCTCTAAGTTATTGGAGTCTTGGAAGGATGCAACATGAGATGAAAGATTACAAGTCAGCGTTGGAATCAAGTCAACATGCTCTTCAAATCAGATTAAAACTGTTTGGCGAAGACCATTCTGACACTGCTAGAAGTTATCACAGCATTGGAGTTGCACAATATGAGATGAAAGATTACAAGTCAGCGTTGGAATCTGATCAATATGCACTTCGAATCAGATTAAACCTGTTTGGAAAAAATCATTCTGACATGCACTGCTGCAAGTTATCACAGCATTGCAGTAACACAATATGGAATGAAAGATTACAAGTCAGCGTTGGAATCTAATCAACATGCACTTCGAATCAGATTAAAACTGTTTGGAGAAGATCATTCTGACACTGCTGCAAGTTATCACAGCATTGCAGTAACACAATATGGAATGAAAGATTACAAGTCAACGAATTAAATTCGACGAAAAATTCGGCGTTTAAAATAAACCTAAGATGGAATATAGCAATAGCAGCGATTGCAATTGAAAAAGTCTTAATATTTACATACGGTAGCAAAGCTATTTCATATTCCCTTCAATTCTCATCAGTTCCAACTAATTAACACAATATTTCATTCCATATTGTGTTATCACAGCATTGCAGTAACACAATATGGAATGAAAGATTACAAGTCAGCGTTGGAATCTAATCAACATGCACTTCGAATCAGACTAAAACTGTTTGGAGAAGATCATTCTGACACTGCTGCAAGTTATCACAGCATTGCAGTAACACAATATGGAATGAAAGATTATAAGTCAGCGTTGGAATCTAATCAACATGCACTTCGAATCAGATTAAAACTGTTTGGAGAAGATCATTCTGACACTGCTGCAAGTTATCACAGCATTGCAGTAACACAATATGGAATGAAAGATTACAAGTCAACGAATTAAATTCGACGAAAAATTCGGCGTTTAAAATAAACCTAAGATGGAATATAGCAATAGCAGCGATTGCAATTGAAAAAGTCTTAATATTTACATACGGTAGCAAAGCTATTTCATATTCCCTTCAATTCTCATCAGTTCCAACTAATTAACACAATATTTCATTCCATATTGTGTTATCACAGCATTGCAGTAACACAATATGGAATGAAAGATTACAAGTCAGCGTTGGAATCTAATCAACATGCACTTCGAATCGGATTAAAACTGTTTGGAGAAGATCATTCTGACACTGCTACAAGTTATCACAGCATTGCAGTAACACAATATGGAATGAAAGATTACAAGTCAGCGTTGGAATCTAATCAACATGCACTTCGAATCAGATTAAAACTGTTTGGAGAAGATCATTCTGACACTGCTCCAAGTTATAACAACATTGAAGTTACGCAAAGTGAGATGAAAGATTACAAGTCAGCATTAGAGTTTCAGCAAAAAGCTCTTCAAATCAGATTGAAACTGTTTGGGGAGGAGCATTCTGACACTGCTGCAAGTTATGACAGTATTGGTTCGACACAAAATGAGATAAAAATCCCATTCAAACTGTTTGGAGAAGACCATTCTGACATAGTTAGTAGTTATGACCGCATCGGAATCGCACAGAATAAAATGCGAGATTACAAGTCAGCATTAGAATCTAAACAAAAAGCTCTTCAAATTAGATTAAAACTGTTCGGAGTAGACCATCCTGACATTGCTGCAAGTTATAACAGCATTGGAGTAACACAGCATGAGATAAAAAACTACCAGTCAGCATTAGAATCTCATCAAAAAGCTCTTCAAATCAGAATAAAATTGTATATGGGGATGATCATTCTGACACTGTTGAAAATTATCGTGCAATTGGAGTCATTCAACGTGCTATGAAAAACTACAAAGCAGCATTAAAGTTACATCAATATGTTGTACAAACTAGATTAAAGCTGCACGGCAAGTACCACCCTCAGACTGCTTTCAGTTATCGCAGCCTTGGAATCACACAACGTGAGATGAAAGATTACAAGTCAGCATTAGAGTCACAACAACAAGCTCTAGAAATTGCGTTAAAGTTGTTCGGAAACAATCATCCTGACACTGCTGAAAGTTATGATATCATTGGAGACACACAATGTGATATGGAAGATTACGAGTCAGCTGTAGAATCATATCAACATGCCCTTTAAATCAGATTGAAACTGTATGGCGAAGATCATTTCGACACAGCTAAAAGCTATGAAAATGTTCAACTCGTACAAGACCGCCTGACAAACGATGTGAGCGTTATTCCAGAAGAAAGGGAGTTGCCAAATTATATGAAATATTTATAAAAAGAACATTTTCTAAAATTGCAACAAAATTAACATTGAATTGTGAAAGCCAGCATATATTGTGGATAAACATTTAGAACCCATATTAGTTATATATCAGTGTAAAATCCTCCAAAGTAATTTGAGACAGTAAAAAAAATCAAAAGTAGCGCTCCCGGTCTCCACCCCCCCCCTGCAGGTAGAGACCCTTCGTAACTCATCTTTAAGATCATTGTAACGAAGGACATGCATATCAATAGCTCTGAATAACTCGATTCACTTTGTTCGCTTTAGCCACTGTGCCGCAGGTTATATTCGTCTGATGCAGAGGATTTAGAAACTATAGCCAGTAATAGGCACTCGGTATCATCTTCGATGACAACCTCGTTCCCAACGAGGTTGATACAAAACAATCTGTTTTTACAACGAAGTTCATCTTTAAAGTTTCAGTTTAAGCCACTTTGAAATTATTACATTTGGTCCTTGTGTCTTGAAAAGAACAATGAAAAGTGGTCGGGTATTCTGTAATTACTCCGAAAAGCTAGGATTTTGTATGCTTCACTGTGGGACTGTTTTTACGCGACTAGTGCGCAGATTCATACCAACTGGATAGTACTCAATATCTCAACTATCTGTGGCAAAATTTGCAATAAATATATTTGGAAAGGCTTCTACATCGTAGTAACTTTATAGCAAAAAAAAACCCCGCGAAAAACCATTTTAATGCTTACAAATTGCGCCGCTCGAAATATATTATTATTAAATTGACTTTATAGATTCACGCGCAATTTATCTCGCGAACGCGTACTCTCGCTAACTCAGTATGGTATGGTAGATAAAAAGTGTAAGAACACCATCAGTCTGCACAAAGATATGCTCCTTGCCCTATATAAGAAACAAATTCCGAAGAACTAGTTAGTCGTCTTAAAATCGATATGAAATTTACGGTTACTGAAAATACCGTTTTCCTGCAAATGCCGCTTTGTTTGATATATTAATATACACGATTATAAGGCCATTTTCCATTACAGCGGACTGTACTACAGTTGGCGTGCATGATGTGTATTTATAGTTGAACTTTTATGGGAATTCTGAGAAGTTAGATTTATCGGCAAAACGCGAGAAACCTGAAAGGGGACCTGGGGGCATGTTCCCCTACCTCAGAAGATTTTTCACTTGATCTTCTGAGCTTAAAAGACGCTTTTTCGTGCATTTGCTGGCAACTGTTTAATGACGAGTATCGAGTATCGGCTGTCTTTATTGGTGAGCCGAAAATAAATAAAAATGGCAGTTACAGACTTACAGTTTCTTCATCTTTTATCATGTTTCCGTTATAATAATAATATATTTATTCTATTATGACGACGTGTTTTGGTATGTGTAATATTTGGGTCATCCGAAGACGAAATGTAATAAATAAATCTTTATAATAAAAAATCCCATCTTGATCAACTTTTTCACTGCCAACGTTTGCGGCTATGATGTCATTAGGTTAGTTGCAAATTTGTTTTCCTTTGATTTTGTACCAAATATTCACCTAATGACATTATATCCGGAAACTTTAACAGTGAAAAAGTTAAGATAAGGCTTCTGGATAAGGGGTGGGGGGGGGGTCTCTACAGAGATCTACATAGGACTGCATTTCTGGCGTTTTCTAAAGTAAATTCGCAAACGAATTGGATGTAACTTGACTGTATTTTACAAAAATGGTTATCAATTCATAAAAATAATGCCTTTATTACGCAAATTTTACCTGAAAATGTCAAAATTTTAACTTGAATTTTACTTGATTTTTGCCTGAGTTTCACAGTTGGGAGTTACAGCCGGTCGCTAAGTTCATTGGCGAAGTAATTTTCAAAAAATACGTGTGTCTGGCAGAATTGCCCTGCCAAAACCAATGATGCCCTGCAGCGCCAGCGCTACTACAACACATCACTAGGCTACTTGTATAATTAAACTGCCGATGCCAATGTACATACATAAATAACAAATTTTTTATTGCCCTGCCAATCGGGATAATTGGCAATACTAATGAGTGATTGTGTCAAAGTGCAGATCCAGCGTTTTGGTTGTCAGCTTTACTAGACGGATACTTCTCCTATAGGGGGTCCGGGGCATGCTCCCCCGGAAAAGTTTTGAAAATTTGAGTTTCTGAAACAGCATTCCCTCCGTTCTGACATGATTTTCCTGATTCATTAAGGACATTAAGTCATTGAAAAATTTAAAACGTTTCACGTTTTTAAGAGTATTTTTAATTTGACCACTACGCAGCTCAAAAAATGAGTTGAACATGCATACATGATTGTTTAAATGCTTTTCCAAAACCTAATAGTGATATTTTAGGTAGGCGAATTGATCAAAATGTAGGAATAGTTTATCTAACTTGAACATGATAGCTACAGTTTACACGTATTATTCTGCATGGAATACATTTCATACACTAAGTGCCAGGGTAACAGGGTTTTCTTAACATGGCTAGAATATCAATAACAGAAATTGCGATGTGGAATAAGTGGCAGTTGTATTCTAAATGATACAGAGCTCTGTCTCTAAAGTATTTGATATGATTGTATATATAATTTAAATCACGATATGGCAAGGGTGAGAGCTGATGAAAGCTGAATGCTTGCTCGATATTTTTTTGAGTCATAGTTGTTTTGCTCGAAATTTGTTTTAATCAGAAATGCTTGCCCGATATTCATTTGGGGTTTACGCATCCCCCCATCAGATAACTAAAGATCCACCCCTAAGTGATTTAATTAATTCGAAACAGAACATCGAATACCACGGTTGTCATGAAAATATGTAACGGGTTTTGTCGCATAATTGATACAAATTGACTTCCGGAAATCCCTTTGAGTAATATTCCGAAGCATTAAATCCATAGAAATAATAGACATAGAATGCGTGCTGATGACGAATCATGTCTCCACTTTTTCAGGTGCGTGCCCTTTTGAATGCGCCATTTTGAATTTTGGCCAGGAGTGCAAACTACAAAGTATAAACAAAGCTAAAACTACGTTTTCATCGTCAAAACGTTTTGTCTTGTTGTCTAATTTGTAGTTTGGGGATAGATTTTGAGTTCCTTGAAGGCACAAACTGTCAAAACAAATGTGTAGTTTAATACAAAACACTATGAAAACAGTGAAAATCGTGTAGCCTTTTAAAAGCAAAGTAGTTTCGCGAAAATATAATTTACTCAAAACATTTTTGCATGCTCTAAACGTAACTGTTTTGCTAATATCTTATAAGATTACAAAATGATAGTTCTTTCTTCGTCGGGTTTCGTTTTTCTGCAATGTAAACGAAGTGTTTTCATGTTCTTGAAACATTTTATAGTTGTCGATAAACTGTAAAATTGCCTAAAAATAATCGTCGAAAACCATGGTTTCAAAAGCGTTGCCTCAAGCTCAAGCAACGTAGAAAAATATGAAATATAATTGTGTAAGTTTAAAAAGATTATTGAACTTCATTTATATTATAAAAGAGTTGAAATATTTGTAGAACATACCTATTGAGTTTGTCTTGATCTTTTGTGTTTTGTTTTGGCTTGCACAACAACATAACGTTGAAAATTTATTTTTAAACGACGATTTCTGCATATATTCTGTTCAGAACTATTTGCTTTTCGTAAAAAAAACCACTGGAATGGGTTTTTAGACACTTTTCCTTAGTTTACCAAACTTTTTTTCCATTTTAAGTCCCGATATAAAATTGTTTGCAAACTTTTCAGTTGAAAAAATAATTCGCATTTCGCACTCCGTGCAACCGCGCGAAATTCCCTGCCTCAGGAGTCTGGGACCAACCAAAATGCCCTTTTCAATGCGCCATTTTGTGGAGACAAATTTTTTACTGAGAAAAGATAGGAGCACGCATTCTATGTCTATTATTTCTATGATTAAATCCAGCGAAATAAATTCGACGGAAAATTCGGCGTCTAAAATAGACCTAAGATGGAATATAGCACAAGTGGTAATTGCATTTTAAAAAGTCTTGATATTTACATACGGTAAAAAAGCGATATTTCATATTCCCTTCAGTTCTCATCAGTTCTAACTAATTAATCAACTTAATTAAACAGTAATTTCTGTGATTTCCGTTTATTACTATAGTTCGTGCAGGCGCAGCGCTAGACGTTTTTTGTAGTAGGATTTTAGGGAGGTACAACCTGCGAACAGGTAGAGAGCACATGGACTCAATGGCCGTAATGTTTATATTGTTGTTTGATATTAAAGTATATGTTTATATACTGTTGTTCTTGAAAGGGATTATCCGAAACGCACCACGTATAAAATTGAATCCATATTAAATTCATATATCAATATATTTTCGTACAAAACATCGCTTTAAAGGTGGTTTCTATAGAAACAATACAAATACATTATAAACTACGCTACAAGAAACAAATTACTTTTCAAATACATAGAAAACAGGACCAAAAACATGCAAATGTACCTGACTTTTGCCCTTCGTAATCCGAACAAACAATCAAATAATATAAACCAACATGTGTTTTTTATCACGTGACGTCCTACCCGCTCGCAGGCGATTAGGCCCTACTTTTCGGGTTAGATCCTACAAACCGGCCCCTATCGAGTATAAACATAGTCGATATACCAAAACACAAGGATCTACGCCCAGTAACTGGAACAAAGTACGAGTTCGATTGGCTTCGTTTAACAACAACAAATATATAAACGTTTGTATATACCAGACCTTGCGACTATTCATCGACTTCTTTCGCTTCTTCGACTAGGCACAGTTTACGGACATGTCTCTTAAATTTCCCGCCATTCGATCTAATCATAACTTGACGCACCATTCCGTCCTTATCTGCAAAAACTTCCTCGACCACTGCCATAGGCCACTGTCCTCGT